ACTTCACAGGAAATTATACAAAATACATTTAGGTACATTTGTGCATATATTCCATATATTGTATATTTATTTTATATACTAGTTCACATAACATTCTTACACATAATTATACTAGTTCTGCTTATATATACATATAGGTATAATGTGGTATACTTTACTATACATACACATACCAACTTAATTTAGAATACCAATAGTATAACAAAAATATAATACTATATATTGAGATTGCAATCAACAACACCACACACCGCAACAATAATTACCTACTAATCTACTAACAATCTATCTATCTACTTTTACCAACAGACTAAACCACTAATATCCACTGGTCAGATTTCCCATATTCATTGAGAGTGTGCTGCTACTCATGTTTGTATTTTACCTATTTGTGTGTGTTTTATTGTTGTTTTGGTGCTGTACTGCTGCTGGAACTCCAGAGGAATTCAGAAACTTCTATATATCTATCACATGCATTTTCTTTTCTCTCACAGTCCACAGCCGTTGTCAGCTAATCCTGTCAAAACATTTTTGGTGTCCCCTGTGAAGAGCCAGTTATGGAACGTAACATGTGTCGTGGCAGCAATTCATGAGCGTACACTAGGGTCAACTGTGTCATGATTACACATTTACTCAGACAATTTGTCATACAATTAATCACAATATTACAATTATGCTTTTATTGGTTTCACAACACTGTGCTGTTGCACGATAACATAACTTTTAATGTCATAACATTGTTGCAGTATGCCAGTCTTCCCTTGTTTATTGTTTGAGTTCACCTTCACATTTGTTATATTTTCTGATGCTACTAAATGTTAGGGGCCTTCATATTAATTATTAGTGATATCAACTTATGACATCCCTGGTGAAGACACGGCAGCATACCGAGCTAAATGGCATCAAAGGATACAGTCACGGTCGATGCACCTCACAGCTCCCGTGTGTCCGTTGCAGGTACTGAGTACCACATGTTGGCCACCTGTGTAGGGAGACACTGTATATAATACATAAAGGCAACAAAGAAATCTATGTTGCACTACTTTCCTTTTAATCTGAATGAAAATACATCAATTCTACTGGCCTTAGTCGTGTCCCCCTTTCATGATTACAGTATGATTTTCATTACAGTATGATTTTCAAACTACGGAGCATATAGCCTTAGGTTTGTAAAACAATTGCAAGTCAAAACTAGCAGAGAATTACTCTGCTACTCAACTAGCAGAGTCGTATTGCCATTTGTAGCTCCACGTGGACATTCTATATTCTTGTCGTCAAACTTATTACTATCCTATAGTCATTGGTGGCACTTGTTAAGTGCAATCATTTCGTGTCACTCACTGGATTTTTTATGGTCTCCTTCTCCGTTGTGGTGGACCGTTCATGCCCTGCAGTAGGATGGGTTTCTGTACAGAAAAGCAATATTTGCAAGTTAATTTCATATTTTCAAAAAGGTGTATCAGCCTAACTCAAACTCCTGTCAAAGGCCAATTTCTTATTTACCACGACAACTCTATATTCACTATTTAGGACGAATCATTTTAACTTCCGACAAAAACGTTAGCTGCCGAGACACATATGCTAGCGTAAATTAGACTAACGGTCTAGACCGAACGACTACCATTTCAAACAAAATACAACCCACAATTGTTGTTTGTTTTTGTTTTTTTCAAACCTACCATTCAAAACAATAAGACGTAACCACAGTGCCCAGGTTTTTGACTTGAACGCTAACTGGAAGCCCAAACCGCTAACACTCCGCAACCGGAAATAAGGACCGTACACGTTTTCCTACTTTTCGTTATACAAACGTTCCAATATCAGCGCGCCCCCTACAGTTGACCGCTGACATTCACATTATTATTATTTTTTATTTGGTTTAGTCTCAGAACTGTTACTTTGATAAAAAAAAAGCGTGCTTTGACGATTGTAACAGAAAAGCTCATTGGTGAAAATCTACAAAAATAAATAATTTAAATACAAAATGCCTACCAGTTGTTTCACCATTGTATTTTTAAAATAGTTTTTTAGTTAATTGTTATTTCAGGTATATATACTGTATATATGTCATATCTATCTATCTATCTATCTATCTATCTATCTTGGCAGCGCTGCCAAAGTAGAGAATATGACCTTTCTTCCAATAACAAACTTCTGTACTGCATCATTATGTGATTAATATTCACATTTAACCCTGATAATACAGGTTATTAATACAACATGACTCTGTGGCGAAGATTGTATACAGGGGCTGGTACCGCCTGGCAGGTGGTAGCAGGCGTAGCTCTGGGGCACTGTGGTCAGTCATATGTCCAGACTTTCTGTATATATATTCAAGGATTAATTTTTCCTGAACAGCATGCCATTATATATATATATATATATATATATATATATATATAC